TATGTCTATCTTTCTTCGTGAGTGAATAGAAGAGAAAATCTTTTGATTAATATGCACGGCACATGTCTGAGGCAGAGTGTTTGCTGCGATCTCTCCCCATGTATAGACCGCGTCGAGCTCGTTATGTCAACATGCTTCTGTAGCCGTGACGTCATCTATTGATTTGTAGTCAGCCGATGACGTCACACGGGCAAAGAACCCTGCGAATCAGTAAGGAGGAGCCACTGTGGGTTTGATCGATACAAGTTCGAGGGGCACGGTCTACATCCGCCCCCGATTTCGATCCGGTTCTGTGCCAATCCAGTTTTTCATACCTTTAACTCCCTGTAGAAATGTGGAAGTAACCATCGGCGCTGAAGTTGGTTTCTTTCTTAAACCTGTCTCAGAAACTTTGCCTTAAGATACTGAGGAATTGATTGAACATGATTTGCTACTGAGAACTGGATACGTGAGCAATATCTGGAGTGGTTGGTTGTTTTGCATGACATGACCCGTCTGACGGACTATGCAAGATGTCCACCCTTCAAACTGAGCTAGTAGTTTTGATTAAATGACCGTATATTTGGCAACAAAAAACATTAAACACTTTTTATTCAGATTTCTTGGAATTGGTTGGCCTAGACTTTACTCGCGGTAAAAACCTTTATCGTGATTTAATTTCGATCCTTTGTCTGTTTGTATTGGAAACGTCTAAGACAGGCATCTCTTCCGTCTTTTTTTCCATTTCAGGTTGACACGCCGTAATATAACTGAAATATTGTGCCAACATTAAACCCAAGTCACTCATTCCAATGATGAAATGATGTTAGCTGTTCTGATATTTTAGAGTATTACAAGACACTAGAAGACCATTCTCAAACTATTTCAGTGCCAACATGTTTTACAGTCGGTGAAAAGCTGTCGTCACGCCTTAAAGACGTCGTTAATAGTTGAAGGACATTGTTATTGCTCGTTACTTAGCAACGGAATGGTTACGTAAGCAGGTGAACGGTAATTATCTCAAAATAACACACTTTCATACCAAACATTGCCTTCAACACAATAACTGTAAATTATCTTCTTAAAGAATATTTATTTAGGACTGTTATCACGGATAGGAATTCGGCCAATGTTTATTCAACGAAAATTAGGGGGTGTTGTTGTAGTGATACGACACGTTGAAGGAGAAGACGATTCTATTTTTGGAAAAGGGTGAAGTGTTCTGTTGGCTGAACGGAGACCACAGAAGACGAAACACACACACACACAAGAGCTCTATTAGGGGAACGCTGATAGAACCATATGGACGATACAGATTAGTATGGTCCTAATATAGAACATAAATCTAGCTGTAACAGTTGCTTAATGAGAATTGATTGATAACAATGGGTGACCAGGCTGACTACAGCACGAAACAAAAAAAATCACCCTCTCATTATAAAACTGTCCACTGGATAAGCCGTCAGCGCTCATCGTATTCGTCAACTTCAAATACAACACAAATGACACTGTCAGGCAAAACACGGTATACTCTTAAAAATGTTTTTGCAAAAACTTACGAGCGTCGCTATAGAGTTCCTAGGCGGAAAACATTCGCCCAGGAAGCCCAAACCCCAACTATGACTTCCGTATCAAATGCATGCCATAGAAAAAACATGTCGTGTATGTTTTCTGAACACCCAATATCTAAAAAATACGTAACTATACTTTCTTTTGATTGGTAGTGTACTTTCGTAATTTTGTTATGGAGACCTATTTTCCAGCATATCAGTTGGGCATTACCTTAAATACCAAGTTGTTTCGTGTTGGGATTACGTTTTGCACTGCAGGGAGAGTATATGTACTGCATGAATGTGAGTCATCGCCCACGTGTCCCAGAAATCCTATCCATTATTACACAATAAAATAGCTCTATGTTAGGTGCACGATCATGAAATTGAATTATTTGGCATTTGACCAAAACTGTCAAAAATCGTATCCCGTTTCTATTGCTATGAGCAGAGTTACGGAAATAAACACTGACAGCCAATCCTGTGGAACTGAGGGCAGATGCCAGGCACCACGAGACTGGCTCCTCCATGGCACCGTTACATTAACTGGGCTGCGACAAGGATATAACATTTTTTATACCTCCCCTGCTTTTAACAGTATTACCAGTGTGCTTATTTAATGCGCCTGGTCTTAAACACTCATGTTAACGGCGGTATTGATTGGGGAGGCTGCAAAAGCCTCTATATTGTATTGATGTTGTTGTTAGCGGAGCATGTTAATAGACAGCACAGTGATGATGAAAAGAAGTGAGTGAGTATTGGTTTACGCCGCTTTTATCAATATTCCAGCAATATCACGGTAGGGAGCCCGCATTTTTTACGTAACGATCAAACGTTTTAACCTCTAGGCTACTAGGTATTAATGACTTGATACAGTTGTCGACAGTATCTTACATCTTACAGCGGATCAACAGTTTTAAGGATTTTGTTTCTAAACAATGTTGTCATAGTGTTGTTTTGTTTTCTAAATATACAGTGTTCTGCAAGCGAACCGGTCGCCTAGACAATTGCTTTTAGCTAACAATCGGCGGACAAGATCAGTTTCTTACAATACGTTTACATGAAACTGAAACGATTATGGAGTTAGTGAGTGATATTAGCAATATTCCAGCAACATCACGGCGGGGGACAATAGAAATGGGATTCACACACTGTACCCATGTAGGGAATCGAACCCTGGTCGGCGTGACTAGCGAATGCATTAACCACCGCTCCTCAAAGAGGTGAGGTGAGGTGAAATTGGGTTTAACGTCGTGCTTGAGAATATTTCGCTCATATGACGACGTGCATGCGTGCGGCTGCTTGTACTAGCCCAGACTTAAGCTGGTTCTATAGTGCTAGCCCACTGAGATACCATGCCGTAGTGAAGCACGAATACCCCACTCAGACACATTATACTGACTCCGAGCCGTCCAGTCCTTGTTGTACCCATTAATGCCGAGCGCCAGGCAGGGACCAACAAGTACCATATTTTAACGTCTTTTGGTATGACGCGGTCGGGGATCGAACCCGCGACCTTCCGCTCTCCGGGCGGACGCTCTAACCACTACACCACGGAGGCGGTCCTCAATAAAAGAACGTTGTACTGTACAATAACTAAACGTGACGTAATTCGTTCGTGTTATAGTTTTCTGCTGCAACGCAGGTGACGACGAGCATTATGTCATAAACGTAAATCCTGGGCATAAACCTGCTGAGAATGTTTTTAATTAATTGATTTGTTTAAAATCAGGCTTGTACAAATCCAAACCATGTCCGGTTACATCTGTGCATGCGTGGCATGTCTTGTTACGAGAGAAAATAAATATACAGATACCTCTAAATTTATTTTCTGAAATTATGGCAAACCTTTTGATTTGGCGTGAGCAGAAATACCTGACAACCGTAATTAGGTTCCATCATTCGATAACGAGAGTAGCAGCATCGTACTCTCGGCACCAGCCTGTCATTTTGTCCAGGAAGACAGAGACCTAGACAAGGACTTACTGCTCCCAGTAACCTTATGAACAGACTTTGTTCTTCCAGATACCATTGTACTGCGTGCCCTAGAGATAGGTCAGGAAACACATTAACAAAACAAAGTAGGTCATTATCTACATTTTTCATTATGTGCGTACCTATTTTTAACGAGAGCTGATGATTTGTTGTAGAGAAAACAGTACTCAAAATCAGTCCGTACTTGTTTATCGAGCAATTAAAATTAGCTCTTCGTACCCAATTGATTATTAGGTAGGAATCTATCTTATTAAATACGTGGATATAAGCAAAGTATATGGCAAGATGAACTAACAAAGGTAATGAGAAAAATGGGACTTTCTATTATTTTAATGACTTATTAGCAGAAACATCGTTCCTATCTTAAACTAACCATACGTACTAGAGTCTATGGAGCCAATTATTCGTTTCCTGATCAAAGGGTCATTCAATACGCTTTTGATATCAGAATTATCGTCCTGTTATTATTTGCTATAAAAACAGCCGTACGCTGATGATCACGTTGCTTATTGACCCTACATGACCAGTTAATCACCGACTTCTGCGCTGGTCAGAAAAGGGGATACGTTTCAAATGACCGCTGCTGACTGAACATTGTTAGATGTGATCTTATATTACCGTAATGTGGTTTTGTGTGGAGCGGTGTGTTCTCCATGGTATTCGTGTATTGGGCTCTATGGCGGTTTGCAAAATCTAATTATCGTCGGTCGAATAGAAAATTATCGATACCTACTACAGGCCCACAAAGGTCCCATAATAGAACACTTGATGCATTCAATGTGCTTTAATGTTATTCCTGCGTGTATGTTGGGAGTTAAGGGTCAAGTTTTATAAGTTACGCTCGAGTAACACATTTGCATTGTAAAAAATCCCATTTCTGATGTCCCCCGTCGTAATATTGCTGGAATATTGCTAAAAGCGGCGTAAAATCCAACTCACTCTCACTCACTCACTCATTGTAACACTATGTGATATAAATGTTATTTAAAAGTGCACTCAGCAATATGCTAGCTGTATGACCCTACCTGTATGTAATATAAGTTTCAAATCAGTGAGCATCGGCCCGATGACATGGAGTACTTGCAGCCACCCAGCCTGACCTCCCACCCGATCCCTGGTCTATTCTCAGTTTGAATGTTTTGTTTCAAGCTCACAGTGCTTAAAGATTGGTTGGTCTGCTGGTTTGTTGTTTAACGCCGCACTCATCAATATCCCAACTATATGGTGGCGATCTGTAAATAATCCAGTCTGAAGCAAACAATCCAGTGATCAAAAGCATGAGCATCGATTTACGTAAATGGGATGACATGTGTCAACCAAGTCAGCGAACCTGACCACCCGATCCCGTTAGTCGCCTCTATGGACAAGCATTGGTTGTTGAAGACCAATTCCAACCCGGATCTTCACGGGTTGGATGATTTGTTTCAAGCTCACAGTGCTTAAAAGCCTAAAGATATTTTAATTTTATTGTTTCAGGATCGACTGCTGTCGAGGATTGACGATCGAGACTCCGACAACAACATTACTGAAGAGGAGGAGGTGAGTACAAAAATATGGATCACCACTTCTATAAGAACGGAAAATGAACGTACAGCAGAGTGGAAAATGCCCACCCTGAACATAGCGACAACGACGAACGACAATGCCTGTCATAGTTTTGCAGGAAGCAGCACAAAAATCTGCAAACTGTAGAACGATGGTAAATGTTTAAAATAACCGATTTATAAAATGATGTAGTGGAGATCTTTCAGGAAAAAATACATGAAACTCAAAAAGATTAAGTAACGAAAATGCATAATTTTAACAATGATGCTTTTATATTTATAGCCTTAATGAATTTTTCAGTGAAAGACAAATTCAGAAAATTTAAATTTGCCCTTTTTATTGCTTTAAATGTAACGTTAATCGGTCTTGCATGAGCTGTGCAATATACCATCACACATGAATTGTATCAACTGCGCATACAATTACATACAAATACACCTCTTTAACCTCACCGGCTTGACTTGCATCTCTTTGTTACGTTAATAAATAGAGAAGAGCAGTATGTAATGTTCCGATCATGCGATGATAAACAGTTGCTATTTACCCGCTAGCGAGTCAACTCTTAAATTATTGACTTTTCTCTGCAGCGTATTGAAAAGCTTAAGACCACTCACGGCAAGCCAGTGTCAATATCTCGGAAAATAAATATAACAATAGTCCGCAAAAACTTCGCTCATCAATAAAGATTGATTGTTCTCTATTCACGCACCTCTGTTGTATTGACTTAGCAATCTTAAGCCTGATATAGTGCCAATGGCGTTGTCATTTGTCGGGATGTCTTATATTTAGTGCACTGCCAGTAAAACCCCACATGCTTTCAAACGTATGTACAGCTTATGAATGCATTGTCCATTGTTTCAATATGTGTCGTTCAAATATCGCGATCGCGAGCACACTTGGTCTGTTTGTTGGGAATCGATTGATAGAAATGTGTCAATATTGACATGTTTCTGCGAGTCGAGATGGTTATGACAAATGAGTCATCGAAACCAGTTTTATGCCTTTACATTTCGATCAGGAATACTTCAAGAGCAATATCTGTTTTGCTGCGGAAATAAATAATTTTTTCCAACGTTTCCAAAGAATAGTTGTCGATGATCGAGGATTTGTAGATATCATCCATTGATGGTAGCACTGAAACAGGACAGAAACCCCTCGTCGTTCCTTGGTATCGGAACCTCCTTGTCTGACCTCTTAACTGTCCGACGTGTGCCGAATGTCTTTACGAAGGCCGCCATTATTACAATTCAGCCCAGGAAATTTCTTTGTCCGATGTCGAACAGCTTTGAAGCGTCGATAAATGATTGTATAACAGGGCAGAACCGCAACGTCAATTGACACCTCATTTCGTCCGTCTACTCGCTGTCTACTTTATGTTGACGCTATCTAAAGCCGTCTACTTCAGTGTCGGTATCCTGTTATTCGCAACGCCCAAGCTTCCGAGCAAAATCTAATTGTCGGGTGACAAATTGTCGCCGTGAAGAGTAAAGCTCGTTAAAGGGAGTTCCGACTGATTCACACATATTTGTAGTAGAAAGTTATCCCACCGACGCTGCCAATAAGGCCCGCGGTGACGTTTTATTGTGTTCCTGTGATTAAATTTGTTTAATGATGAACGGGTTGCTGCGATGTAGCTAAAGATGCTGTTGTAGTAATCAGTCCCATGTCGAAATTTCAGCTCGCACGAGAGCTCAATGTAACCCTGCCCCACATATACCCTGGCGACGATAAGAACACTGTCAGAAATCTCTCATTTATTTGGTTAGCTTTGTAATTTGGGAACTAAAAATATCCGCCGGGATGTTATCTTGTAGCAGTAGTATGTTAGTGCTAGATGCACTGGGATTACCAGAGTGATACGCGCTGTGGAATCTAGGTCGTGTAACGTCATTTGTCACTGAAAATTTGACATAATCCTCTTCAAATTAAATCAGTACGTTGCGACACCTTAATTCGTGTATGTTAGCCCGATTTTGTATAGATGCATATGCAAGTCTGATTATGGGTGTTCTCAAGTAAGCTATCTTGCCACATCGGGGCCAACAGGTTTCTGTTAAAGTGAGTGAGCGAGTTTAATTTCACGCCGCTTTTAGAATTATTCCAACAATATCACGGCGGGGGACACCAGGCACTGGCTTCACACACGGTGCAAATGTCGAGAATAATTTCAATTCAATTCAATATTTTATTGTACGAAAGGCCATAGCCTGTTTAGAGTCGAGTTACATATATTTCAATCTGAAGCAGAACAAAATACAATATCGTTAACAATAGGAGGTTTTGCGTAATATTAAAGCATGGTGTATAAACAGAGCAATTTGAAATTGGGTAATAGGGTTATTGCAGGATAACAACTTCTTAAAATTATAGATAGACATGAAGTTATATGGAATCGAATCATGGTCTTCAATGTGACTAGCGAACGCCCTAACCACTAGGCTACCCCATTGCCCCAGCTTCTGTTAGACGTAACTAAAGTGAGTGAGTGCATGGTGTTTATCATGGCCTTTCAGCTTCATTTTGGAGAATGGTAGTGATGCAATTCTCAGATGTTTACCACTTTGATGGAGCCCAGGAACTCAGTCATGGTGCTGACAAACCAAAACATAATCGAAGCGACGGGATTCGAACCCGTAATCATAGGCTCCTGTGTTCAAGGGATGTAACTCTTTGCTTAAGTGACGCCTGAGGGAAAGAGTATAGTTTCTTACAGTCCATTTGAGTCAGAAACGGACCGATGAATTGCAAATTTTATCATTATACAAAATTTCAACATAAATATAAATAGTACACATGTTTATCATTTACTAATACCCAACAGCTTTCTTATATTTGAAAATTTTCCGGACTCCACCAAAAAAGTTCTTTAAGAAACTATCATTAAAATTTTGACACAGTTCACTATTTATTACGAGGGAGGAGTGCAGAGAAAGGGACAGCCAGGTGTTAGAGAAGCACGTGCACAAGTGCCCACCAAGTTATTGATTCATTAGCCTGTGCTGTGCCGTGTCCATCGTTTCTCGCACACCTGACTGTCCCTTTCTCTGCACTCCTCCCTCGTAACAAATAGTGAACTGTGTCAAAATTTTAATGATAGTTTCTGAAATAACTTTTTTGGTGGAGTCCGGAAAATTTTCAAATATAAGAAAGCTGTTGGGTATTAGTAAATGATAAACATGTGTACTATTTATATTTATGTGGCAATTTTGTACAATGATAAAATTTGCAATTCATCGGTCCGTTTCTGACTCAAACGGACTGTAGTAACGCTGATATTATGGTTAAATTTATGAATGTTGCGTTGAATGAGTGAAGGAATGTTCTGTTACACCTCAGTCACTAATGTGATTACTGCTATATCAGTGCGGTCGAGTTAATAATCTAATTGGGCCAGACAAATCTGTAGTTGTTGTCATGTTAATAGCAGCGATCGATGCAGTCGGGTCTCGATGACTTGTGCACAAGCTTACAGACCCACTGTTTTTGCCTCTAGCTATTCCTTCAGCTGGTACTGGGTTTCGCGTCTAGATCTCCCACTGTTATTGCCCTTGGTTTTGTAGCCTTTGTCTGTGGACAGTGGCTAACGTCTCTTGTCTGGAGGACAATGGATGGTTTCTCTTGTCCGTGGAAAAATGAAATAATGTTAAAGCGATGTTCAACCACCTCGGGGATTCCATATTTCCAAAACCTTCATCACACATCTATCCACGTCTGCCCGGAGAGCGGAAGGTCGCGGGTTCGATCCCCGACCGCGTCATACCAAAAGACGTTAAAATATGGTACTTGTTGGTCCTTGCCTGGCGCTCGGCATTACTGGGTACAACAAGGACTGGTCGGCTCGGAGTCAGTATAATGTGTCTGAGTGGGGTATTCGTGCTTCACTGCGGCATGGTATCTCAGTGGGCTAGCACTATAAAACCAGCTTCAGTCTGGGCTAGTACAAGCAGCCACACATACACATACACACGCATGCACGTCGTCATATGAGCGAAATATTCTCAAGCACGACGTTAAACCCAATTTCACCTCACCTCACCTAGCATAATGTACCGTTACCTTTGCATCATGTACCCAGTACCCCGTATTATATACCCTATACCCTTTGTTCTATACCTTATCCATTTGCTGTACCCTACATCTTGTGCCCTAAAAAATATACGCTGTAGCCTGTTGCAGATAACCTATATCCTGTACCCTGTATTGTATACCCAGCCTGTGCACTGTATACTAGTATAACATATGAACCTATACGAAATACACTGTGCCCTAGACTTTATACCCTGTACGCCATTTCTCATCTCCTATACGTCATACCATGACCTTATATGCTGTAAGTTTTACCCTATAGCCGGTACCCTGTACCCTGTACACTATACGCCGCACTGTGTATACCCACTTCTCTGTACCTTGTACTTTGTACCCATATCACGTACATATATCCTTCACCCTGCAACCAATATTCTAAGCTCTGTACTTATACCTTGTACTCAATGCCTATAAACAATACACTGAACCCTTCATCATATACACTCTACTTATACCTGTACCTAGCACCATGAACACTAAACTATCTATATATACCCTGTACCCACCACCCTGAACACTATACTATCTATATATAGAGAGAATCTTACCCGAGTGTCTTTTGATATCAAATATATCACCACGAGTTGATAAAGTGGCTTGCCGAGGATATTTTTACTTTTATCAACGAGTGTTGATATATTTGATATCAGAAGATACGAGGGTGAGATTCTATTTATCATCAAAAATCACTCTTCATTATTTTTCAATGAAAAATGTACACATCTGAACACGGTCCTGCCATTAGACTTGCAGTGCAGCGATGTCATAGCATTGTGACGTCATCAAGTTCATGACGTCATAGCATTGTCAGGGCATTGTACAAAATCTACTGTCAAAATGATATCTCCTAGGAGATATCGTATAATCTCACACAAGCAATATCTCCTGTGGAACACAGTTTTGGATGA